AGAGAGAGAGAGGGGCAAGGTTCACGTTCGAATTTTATCATGGTGTATAATTTTGATGTAAAATGTTCTTAAGATTATCTCCCAGGCAGCCCAAGAACCTTCGCTACCAAGTGGTGCCTTCCACCTTCTAAAACATTGATCAGACGATTCAAAAAGGTCTTTGATATGGGAAGAGTTGATCAAATCTTCAACTTTGACACTAATAAATACAAAGCACTCAGTAATATCATCCAATGGTTCCATGAAGTCTAAAACTTGAATGCAAATTATCATACGATATCAAGCACTTGCTTATAGCAAAAATGTCCATAATTTTGTAATGGGATTGTATACAATCAAAGCATTTACCTTTAAAATGGGGAGGTCACGATTATTTACAATCATCTGATGTGTCGAGAAAAAATTCTTTTAAATTTTGTGCTTGGTCAATGAAATAAATGCAGCCACCCAATTTCACATGAATTATTTTGACCATCTTGTACCAAAGGTAAATAGTCTCATCATATACTTTCCCTTTTGTAATTTTCATCATATACTTTCCCTTTTGTAATTTTAAGCACATTGCTGAGTGCACCTTTTAGGAGGCTTAGAGCAAAATCTGAGCTCAAAAGATGAGTGTCTGAATTCCCGGTTGGCAAATAATGCTCAAATGTTACCAGTGGAGCTGATAAAATGATGGATTACTGATTACCAATCCCATTAAAGGGCAAAGAATTGTAACAACCAGATAAAATAAAATATGCATGCACCAAGGTTGCAAAAGTCGCTCCAATATGAGGGGGGGGAAGAAAAGAGCACAATGGTCAAAATCAATAAACAAAAGATCAAAATTCAGATACTAATCCGTCAAAGTATGTATTCCCCTCAAATGGCGCACGTCCGTATATATGATTTTCATTTGAAAAATCATGAAGTCTCCCATGGACTCCACCCACATGAATTTTGGTGTACAATACAAATCATGTTACAGCTTTTTATTTCAAGCAAATTTCCAATTTCCAATGTTAGCCAGTGGTATTGAAGTGAACATAATTATCACAAAATTTTTAAGGCCTCAAGCATTTGAGAGCACATGCTGATTATCTTCGCCGCACACCCTCTTTATCGCCGAGCTGCTCATCTCAAAGTCGAGAAAAGAGAAGATGAGAACTAAAGAGGATGACAATAATCAAGAAGCATCAATATATAACAAAGAAATCTCTTTCCTCTCTTCTAAACAATATGGGAAATACGCACTCAACCATGACAAAAGAGTTTCACAATAAAAGAATAGCCTGAAGGAAAAGAAAGAGCCCAAGAATGACACAACAAAAGTACTAGTAGTCTCCATTCACACGAAAACAAAGACCACCAACGAGATTGGTTACTTTTTAGCAAGGAAGCACTCTTAACTCACATAAAAAGATCACCTTCCAGCATTGTTGGGTTCCTCTATCCACTTAACCACAATCTTTCCCAAATCCACCTTGCATCGAAAGAAGCCAGCACAACGATCTCAGAGAAAAACATGCCACCTAATTGCTGCAACATGAAAAGTAGAAAGACGAGCTTCTGCTTCGCATTTTAGCATGCAATACACTAAACAATGCAGTCCATTGATGAAACCTACAACAAAAAATCCACTCCCAACATAGTGCAGTCAAACTGACGAAATCTGCACGAAGTGATACTCGGTTGACAAATGGTGTCACCATGGTATCCAGGAATCCAAAATACCACAAATGCGTTCAACATAGAGAGTTTATGTAAGCACCGAGAAAGGCAGTCCATTTTCAAAAGTTTCCTAGGCTCACAAAATTAGGTAAGATAACAGGGTTTTTTTTTTTAATCTGTTCACTGTTTGTATTGAGTAAGGGCGCAAGAGTTACAAGAAGCATCTGAAAACCAACAAATAGGCCTCCCATACAGTGGGGGGCCCATACAAAGCCCAGTAGAGGCCCAAGTAACCCAAAGGATCTTCACAATTAATCACAAAAAGGGGTGAAGACAGAAAGGGGTCAGTAGGTGAAAAAGTAGCTGGAGCATCCCCACTGAGGATTGATGGAGGCCCCTTCCTTGGCCAAGAGATCCGCTTCAGCATTTGCTTCCCTCCAAACGTGCCTCCAGGAGATGGTGATAGAATCAGATATGTGGTGGATTTCATTGAAAATATGGGCCCAATACGAATGGCAGGGGAAGGAGTTGGAATCCCGGGATATGGTGTGTTTGGAATCCCTTCAACAACCAGGTCGTTACCCCAGATGGGGTTGAATTGCCTCAGACCAGCAAGGAGGGCAAAGGCTTCTGAGAAGGTTGAATTGTCTCATTGGTCGCAAAAAAGGCCTCCAATGCCAGAGGGACAAGATAACAGGTTGACAAAATTCAGTAAGAGCAAGCAGCATATTGATAAGAGACTCTACAAAAAATAAAACAGTTTTTCACTTGATTGGATCATCAACAGACATTACCACAGTACACTGATCCTTTTCAAGATGAGCCCAAGAGAAGCCCGATAGTTTGAAGATACAATGAAAACCCAGCAAAATATCAGAGAATCAAACCCTAAAGTTAATAAGCAAACCGTCCATAATTGATAATCCAGGATTAAATTTGGGAGAATCAAACCAAAAATTCTAACAGATAAAAGCAAGAAATAAAACCAGATGCAAAAACTAAAAGCCACATACCCATCAATCATTTCCCGTTTTTAACCATTAACATTAAGTCTTCAAGAAATTAGAGAAAGAGAGGATAAAATTCAAAGCTAATCACCACATGTAAATTCAAGACAGGAGAGGGGGAGAGAGAGGATTCTCACTCCAATTAAGGAAAGATAAAACAAACCCCAAAAATACAAAAAACCTTGAAAAAGCAACATTAAACCAGAGAGGAGACGATCACGAACTTATTCTCCAAAATCAACCCTGATTCTTGAGCTTCTCCACCATCTGGCTTAGCTGCTCAAGCTTCGCAATGAGACCCTTAAACATGAGTCAAATAAAAGACCAAAGCAGCAGAGGTCAATCGCACATATCTTTGACTCTTTATGGTCAATTTCTGGTGCCTAAGGTGCTCCGTTGGTGTGCAAGCAACACCTTCATGAGTGCTTATTAGGATTTTGGAAATAAAACGATTTTCAAAAGAAATATTAGGGTTTTGGAAAAAGAGAATGGATTGAAAGAGAGCTTCTGCTGAGAGATCTAGGATTTATCGAGAGCTTCTTTTGAGAGAGAGAAGGTTCGGACATGTGGGAAAGAAAAAATGGGAAGGGGTGGGGGGTTGCCTATGCTCCCCCTCGCCCAGCCCCGAGTTCATGAATAGAAACCAAAGCCCCACATGTGGAGAACATATGTGAGAAAATAGCAATCCAATTCCTGAGGTGGAGTGCCATTTTCCACGCAAAGTTGGGAAAAATCCTTTCCCAATTTGCTACAGCATTTGCCTTTTCCCAATAGACAACTATGGGAAAACGGCTATTTCCAGGGAGAAAATGTTTTATTTAGTTGGCAAGTGTGGACAATATATCAATATCGAATTCCTCACCACCATAATAGATATGGTCATGGAGGTGCATAGCGATGAGAGGGAGAACATAATAAATTGCAACTAAGGATGGAGTAGAAGAGAGAAAAATAAGGGAGGGTGAGAGCTAGGTTGAGAAGGAAGTTAGGGGTACCTGCGTGGGAGGAATAAGACGAGAGCAGGGTTGGTATAGAAGCAGAGAGGTGAAGAAAGAAGACCCAGAAGGAGGGGGACGAGATTAAGAGGGGGAGAAAAACTTAAAATTGACAGCAGAGAGGGAGAGACTTCGAAAGACCGGAAAGAGGGAAGCAATAGAAGGAGAGAAAAGGGAGAAATCCAAAATTTTAAAATTTCTAATTCCTTTATATCTTTTTTTTTTTTGCTTTTTTTGTCCTTTTTTTTTTTTCCCCTGAAAACGGGGTAAAGGAGGAGGTGAAAGAGGGGAGACAGAGAGAAGATTAGGGGGGGAGAAAGAGGGGGGAGAGAAAATGGGTTTTAAGTGGAGGGCTGCATACCTGCACCCTGGGTAGCTCCCTTAGCCAGATGCTCAGCCTCTGCATTGGCCTCTCGATAGATGAGTGTGAATTGAACTCGAGGGAGGTTGCTGCAGATAAAACAAATTTGCTCAAAAATGGAGCTAAGTCTCCAGGGGAGCTCCTTCCGCTCAGAGGTCCAAAGGACAACATTTTTGGAGTCTGATTCTACTATAATGCCGGTTAAAATATCCTCCATAAACGCCACCTTCTTGAGCCCTTCCAGTAAGGAAAGGGCCTCTGCTACTGTGGAATCTTTAATTCCAATGTAGTTCGAGAAAGTCCAAAGGGTTGACTATGAGTTTGAGAGTAACCCTCCAATACCAAAGGGCCCTGGGTTTCCTATGGAAGTGCCATTGACGTTCAGTATCAGGAAGCCAAGGGGTGTTGGTGACCAGAGACAGAGAGGCTGAGGTCTATTAGAGGGGGTTGAAAGGTTAAATAAAGAGCCTCAATTAGTCAAAAAGTGGGAGATAGGGATGTTTGCAAAAGTTGGAATATTTTTGGCCCAAAAGCAAAGATCAAGGAACTTTCTATATCGAATAAGATAAAATCATACCACTTCTTACAGCCTTTTAATTTTCTCTCTCAAACACAAACTTATGGGGAGAGACATAGAGAAAGAGAGATATCTACTAGTTAGTTATTTACTTCCAGAGCCAACTTTATTGGACTGAATAGGTACAAAACTAGCTAACTCAGCCCAATCAGTTTGTTCTGATCAGATTTGAGAATAATATTCTATTTTAGGATGCTGATCAAGTGGAGGCTCGTTTCATTGTGTTGTGGAAGGGGACACCCTGCACATTGTTGGAACAGTGGCCAAGGTGATCCACACTGTCCAAACAAGTAGATCTATAATGAATAGCTCCACACATCCAACAGTCCAGATCACTCCACCCACCGATCCAACATTGGCCAAGGCATCTCCCACCACAACAGGGCTGGGAGTCCCCCAATGGAACTCTCTTATTTGTAAAGCTGAAATAGTACAAATATATTAATATGATGTTCTATACACACTAACTAAGCCCCTATCAGCTGGATTTTGTCTCTAGGGGAGGCTCATTTCAGGTAGCTAGGAGTTTGTATACTTTTTCATTCAAGAAAAATGCATCTCCTTCAAATAGCATTGAAGCGACAACATACCTAGAAAGAATCTGACCACTATTGGCAAAGATTACCCAAGACATCAGTAAACAATAGAACTGAGGACTTGAGGAGCTCAAGGACTTCAGGCCTATTAGCCTAATAAATACCTCCTACAAAATCCTCTCTACGGTTTTGGCCTCCCATCTCAAGCCCGTCCTTAGCAAGGTGATATCCCCATCTCAAGGGGCTTTTGTGAAGGACCGTCAGATCCTTAATGGAGCCTTAGTAGCCCATGAATGTATTCATTCCGGTCTATTTCCAAATCCCCTGGCCTGGTCATCAAATTAGACTGGAAAAAAACGTATATGACCATGTAGACTAGGGACTCCTAGATGAAACCTTGTTTAGAATGGGATTTGGGCATTGTTGGCAGAGATGGATGCTAGAGTGTATTTCCAATCCCCAGTATCTCATTAATGGTTCACCCCATGGCTATTTCCAAGCTTCGCAAGGTCTTCGACAAGGGGACCCCCACTTTCCCTTTCTATTTGCTACTGTGGCCAACGTCTTTAATGCCTCAATCTCTCAGGTATATAATGCAGGTCACCTTTCAGGCTTCCAAGTGACCTCCTTGGGTCCTTTGATTACCCATCTCCAATAGGCCGATGTCACACTCCAATTCTGCAATGTCTCCCACCATGATGTTAATGTTTTAATGATTTTTCTTCAGTGCTTCGAGATGGCTATAGAATTTCGGGTGACCCTAGACAAGACTAAGATGACTGGGATTTGCCTTGACCAGGCCGCGGTCCAGAGTTTTGCCGATTTGTGGGAAGGCAATATAGAGGCATTACCCCCTTCATACCTAGGACTCCCATTTTGCAATGGCCTTCCACGAATTCAGCTTTGGAGCCCAGCCCTTGACAAAGTAGAGAGGCGGCTGGCGTTGTAGAAAGGGAGGTTTCTCTCCCCGGCTGGTAGAGTGACCTTTATTAAGGCTACAATCTCAAGTATCCCCCTCTTCTTTATGTCCATATTCTTTATGCCATGGGCAGTGTTTGCCAAATTGGAAAAGCTTATGAGAATATTTATGTGGTTCGGTAAAGGAGCCCACAAATTTCACCTTATTAACTGGGCTAAGGTTTGTCAACCTAAAGCCTTACAAGGTCTCAGCATTCGAAACCTTAGAACCACCAATCTAGCCTTGATGGGGAAGTAGTGGTGGCACTTCGCTACCCAACCCAACCATCCTTGGAGAGTAGTCAAGCGCAAATATTGTCGTGATGACCATGAGCCGCTCCCTTCATGCAAGACAGGAGGTAATATTTTTGGCTTTTGGAGGTCATTGTTGCATTGTCGTCCGCTTTTCCTCAACCACATTCCTCTCACCTATATGGGAAGACAAGATTGTTTGGTCCCCTTCCCCCTCTGGTTCATTCACTGCTGCCTCCTGCTACCAAAGTCTGTCCTCACCTCCCTCTCCCCATGTAGCCAACTCACCCACTGTTGCCAAGGCCAGGTGCTCTTTTTTGCCCCCGAAATCCAGTTTGTTACTTGGATAGAGCTCCATGAAAGGGCCCTTACCCTTCATCAACTACAACGTAGGAGGCGTACCGTTGACAAATTGATGCATTATGTGTTGTAAAACAGAAGAAACCAATCATCATCTATTCATTCACTGTGCAGTGGCCTCGGCCCTTTGGAACGACCTTCTCCTCCTCTTTAGCTGGCTGTGGGTAACTCCCCAGTCAGTTCCTCACCTCTTCTCAACGTGTTTTCGCACCCCTTGGAACAACTCTGGGAACCTTCTTTGGAGAGCTTCCATCTCTGCCCCTCTCTGGGTCATTCAGATTGAAAGGAATAATAGGATCTTTAGAGGGAGAGAGCCTCCACCTCTACACTCATCAAGAAGAGAAGGTCCCTTGTCACCTTTTGAGCCCTTAACCACAACAGCTTCTTTCTCTTTTCATTCATGGATCTTCACCAACATTGGCAGGCACTACTCTACCTTAGGACCCCAAGGATCTCTCGAGCTTCCCTTTGCAAACCGCCGGTACCTGGGGTGATCAAATTAAATTTTGATGGGTGCTCTCTTGGGAACCCGAGACCCTCTAGTGATGGAGCATGTATAGGAACTCAAATGGCTGGATTCTTTTTTCTTATGTTGTTCCCATTGGAATTGCAAACTCAACTTGTGTTGAGGCCAAGGCATTGCTCGAGGGCCGTAGAAGATTCGTCCCCAACTGGTACACTCAGGTGCTAGTAGAGGGGGACTCTAGAAACAATATCGCTTGGGCCTCTGATTCTGTCCTTTGCCCGTGGAGACTAGACAGTATCTTTGCAGAGCTTGCTCACTTTTGTAACAGCATCCATGTTTCCTAGAGACATACCCATAGGGAAGCAAATGCTGAGGCTGATGCTCTAGCAAGGGAGGAAGCCAGCCTCAACTCTCTACAGGGGCCCGTAGACTATTCTTAAGCCCACATTATTCTTATAACTTCAAATCTGATGTAGAACACTTGATACCCTTAGGGTTTTTTAAAGGGCACCTAGTAATGGGAAATGCCTAATTTTCTTTTGTTCTCACACTTGTATTTCTTCTATTTATCAATACAATTTATCAAAAAAAAAACCAATAGAGAGAGATGCATAATGCCAACTCCACTACATCTCACATGTTCCCATCCAAAACAAGGAAAAGAAAATGATGTTAAAGTCAGTTTGGTGATATTCATAGGTAAGAACCAATTCAAATAGCAGTTGGTATTATGTATATCTTCTAAACCATCATTTATTAGTAGAACATAAACCCCTTTAAATATCTCCTATTTTTTGGATGTTAACGAAGTCTCATTGACTCAGAAAAAAAGAAAGACATTGTACATGCCCTATACACTTAAACATCTCTTCACAAATATTCCGACCGGCAAGCTATTTATGCACGATATCGACATCACTCTGAATCAACTTAAGTGTACCTTCGTCTCAATATATAATCTGTAATTCTGTATCCTTTGTGTCTATCAACAAAATTGTCACCATTAACAAAATTGGTAACTATGATAGAGGATCTTGAAACTCCTGCTATGGCCAATAAGTCCACCAACTCATATTACACTGCCTCCAAGTATGTCGGAACTCTATATCTCTACTACTTGAAAGATCAGTAACTTTTTGTAATTAGTCTCTGAGGGGCATTTGTTCTTTCAATTCACCCAAGCAATCACAAAGGCAGAATGCCCTTGTGAGGCCAAGGCATTGCTCCAGGGCCGTAGAAGATTCGATACCAATGCCTCTATTGAATTACACCGATGCAATGAGCCAAAATATGTTCTAAATCTTCTGCCGTAATCATCTCTTAGAGCCCCTCTAACACAGCATCTCTGGGTTAACTTTCAAATTTCCATCAAAATTTAGCTTAACCAACTCCACTGGGTGGTGGTACTAGAGTTTCCTTATTTGCCATTCGCAATTTCCACCAATTTGTTCTCAAAATTGTTCTTTATTAACCCAAACTCCTGAAATTGCGGTTTAGGCCATCCTATGACCATGGCCTTACTTCTATTCTGTTTCCATAATACCGCCAGTAGAGTCAGCCTCCATGGGATAACACGTGGCTCTGGAAATGGTGGTGTACAGCACCCCTGCAAGAATGCTTTAACAGGAGACCAGACTGACCCATTCAGGCCAAATATGAGTCTGGAACATAAGATCATATATGGTCATTGACAAACACTGTAGGAATAGGGGGTTTTACTTTTTCAAGCCCCTATTTGCACATTGCAAAAACATTAGGAATAACTATACCTCTGCTTCTCAGGTTATTAACAGTTAATACCTTGTTGATTCTGGCTAGCTAAGCGAGCAACAGTATTTTCAGAGGGGAACAAATATGTGACATCTTGCTGGCCACAGCATATGCTTCCAAACTCGAAGAGTATTCTGTAAATCGATCTCATAGTGAGCCCTCATCCACAGA